TATATACATAAATAATAAATATATAATAAGTGAACACACATGCAGTACAGCATGACACAGGTGTGGTAGAGTGAATTACTTAATATGGTATTTTTCGGTAGTGGTAAAAGAGCTTTGCAATATTGCCTGCACAGGGCAGAGGCCAGGCGAGGGGTTGAGGGCCAGAGACAGACTCGTTTGCAGACATGGCTAGGAAGAGGCTTTCCTGACCAAAGAACTGTATTCAGAACATTCCTGGTCCCAAATTGTAGTCTAGTAACTTCCCTAATGAACCCCATATTCATGAGTATTCTCTGAGTTCTGTGTGATCATTAAAATGGATAATCGAACCTAACAGTGAAGTAGAGGAATGGTTGGTGTCAGAATTGGTAAGGGGGAGCATGTCTGACCTTGCCTCGTAGAATTTAGCCTTAGGCTAATTTTAAGTTAGATTATCTGACTGGTGAAATGAGAGGAGATCATATGTACCCCCATGTCCTTTTCACAACATTCAGGAGGGGTTGTATGTGTAAGATATTAAGATAGAAATGTCAAAGAAGTCCTCACAGATATGGTGTTCCTTAAGAACTTGGACAACTGAAAATCAGATTCCAGGCAGAAGAATCACTAAATGTGTACAGAGGCAGGTAGCAGCATGGTGTGTTTGAGGGTCAGCTCCCACTTCAATATGACTAGAAAAGGTTGGGGGGAATGAATTATAGAATGAATGAGAAAAGAAAAGGGTCCAAGACTAGATTAGTCTTTTCTTCCCTCTGTATGACCTTAAGCAGATTATACGCTCCCCATAAACTTCACTTTCCTCATTTATAGTTTCTTTCTAGAGATATTGTGAAGATCAAATGAGATAAAGGAATTTACAAAATATGGGCAAAAATCTGCCCAATAGTATTCAGTGAAGATTAGCTACTGACGGTGTTTGCAGAGCTTGACCCTTAAATACAAGAACGGGACACCAGGCCCTTGGTCTCATGGGAACACCTCAAATGCACTGCTATGCACAAGTGTGTTAACTAGAGTACAGTACAGATAAAAACCTGGTATAAGAGTGAGTGTAGTGGGGTTGGGAAGGAAGAGAGGTTGATCTTGGGAAACAGAGAATTCTTTCAGAGTCTGCTACTTTATGACACCCGGATGATTATGATACTTAATCCACTTACTGTAATTAAGTATATCAGTATTATCCCTTTTATTTTCATCCTTAATGCCCAGGCAGAACAACCATGGAACTTGTGGTTATTGCTCATGCTCCTCTCCACTTTCTTTGAAATCTGCTGGAACAGAACCCAAAACTTATCTGTTATACCTGAGTAATACCTGTTATTATGTACCTGGACCAAGAGGCAGTTGTTTGAACAGAACATGGGAACACTGAATGTTTTAAAATTGGGAAAGGTGTGAGACAGGGTTGTGTTCTTTCACCATTCTTGTTCAATATGTATGCTGAGCAAATAATGTGAGAAGCTGGGTTCTATGAAGGAAAATGTGGCGTCAGGATTGGAGGAAGACTTATTAACAACCTGAGATATGCAGATGATACACCCT